GTGTAGACTAATGAATTCTAGTTAAAAATTATTCTAAAAAAAACCGAAAACACTTCATTTTTATAAATCCGGGCACATAAAAACTCCAGCAGTTTTTGGCAAAATCATCTACACGTTTCGTCTACACCATATCTGGCATCCACTGACCTTGCCCACAAGCAGCACAAGTGAATAGAATACTTACGGCCGCTCTATTCCTCACTACAGAATCCGCATCAGTGAGCCAGCCACCGTTCGCAGTTCCTTCACGGAACTTCACGAGTAATGGAGGATGTGCCAACAACGCGAGAAGAATCCTCAGAGCCAAGAATACTGTCCCAGAGTGGATTTCAGGAGAAAGGAGGCAGTAGATCCAATCAAATCCCAAAACACGCACTATTTGATCTGCCATACTGGAATGCCATAACGTTGTACTCGGCAGAGAAGAAGGAATAGGAAAGACATACTGTTGATTCAATTGTGGACTAGAATGAGATAAGAAATTCGCGATCATGTTCAGCAGACGGTTTCTTACGTACACGTTGTATAAGACGCTAGGTTTGCCTGAAAGGAAAAAAAACCCTAGAAAAACATCTTTCGAGCGGAACGAAAAACGGATATTTTGATTTTCTTAGTCTTGGTGAGGGTGAGTGATTTGAGATGAGGTCAAGCCAATCGAATTTTTTTCAGAGATATTTTCCCTACTAACCGTAATAGATTCATTCATTCTCATACCACTTGAAGGTATGATCTCACAGAACAGCTAAGAAGAGTACAATTTCTTCATGGAAACATCTTAGTAGAACCAGAAAAATTATTAACGATTGGGCTACTTTGTACAATCTTTGATACTTTCAAAACTTACCTTCATGGGGCTTTTGATTCGCAATCAGCTGGATTTGCAATTCTGAGATGTGGAAAGGCAGCTTGGACTCCACTGCAAGGTCTTCGGCTCTGAATACATTATGTAGAGAAGATGCGAAGCGAATAAAATTTCAGAGATTATGCTATTACAACGCATAAACTCATAACGCTTTGTACCAGAAATCTTCGATGAAACTACAAAGCAACGAAAGATGCAACGCATGAGATAACTTACGTGGTAGGCAAAGTAGCAGCTATAGCTTGTCCCAATTTCAGCATACTTCGGTTGTCGGATTGAGGCTGTACAATCGCCGAAAGCAGGTTGAAGACGATTTCGTTTGTTGCCCACAATAAGTGTGGTCGATCAAACAGAACGAATAGCACTCGAGACAACAGTGGTGATCGCCGTACAATGACAAGATTTTCTCGTTGATGACTATAAATCAAATGAAAGACGTGATTACATATGCGCAATGTATCGAACTCACTCTGTGATAAGCTCATAGAAATGCTCATAAAGCATCCTGTGCTGCTCATCGGGAGCGCTTGCCCACACATCCAGATCACATAAGAGGTCTTCAAATGCCTATAAATGTGGACATAAGTATCTATTTTAACCAGAAAAAGTGATTATTTCACCTGTGCATTGGGAATCAGAGCTACTTCTCTTGCTGTATCCAATGTCCCAGCCATACTAAAGATCATATGCATGATGTGAGAATTCAGCAGGTTTGCTTTGTCTTCCAGAAGTACAGCCAAAGTCTAAAAGTCAAAAATGATGTAGCTTACGAAGATAAGTAAGAAGGACTGTCTACCTGGTAAGCCCTATTAGCGTGAAGAGTGGCCTGCAGATTACTATTTGACCTCACTGCTGATACTACCGC